GGGGGGGTGACACAGCTTTCTGCAGACTCTGCATTTCTAGGGCAGGCCTAGGACACTCTGGCCGGAGCCCCCCCTAGCTCCTGGCAACCAGTGATATCAGTGACAGTGATAACATTTTACTGAACCCTGTGCATATGCACTTTTTTGTGTTGCAACTCTCACAGAGCCTGCCTTTTTAAACAACTCAACATCTGAACAATGTAAAATTATCACGAATTGCTGGAAGCACTGCATGATGAGATATGTAGTCTTGAGAAATCGAGATTGCATTATATCAAGCAGCAGGGAAAGAGATGTGAAGGACAGAGGGAATCCAGGACGTTGTTGAAAGGGATGGGCAGACAGAAGGCAGCACTCACTACAGGAAAGGTTTTTTTTCAAGTAAGCTTTGATTGGATTATGAAAATCAACTATAGGATGTATTCTTATTACAACGCTAATGTTACCAGTATAGAATATACTGGGACTTTACAACTCCTTTGAAGTAGAGATTCTACAGCTGTTCATTTGCCTGGGCCCACATTGTCACCTGTTCCAAAGTGCTGTGTAGTAGTGAAAAGTGCAAGCCATCATCAGACAGCAATTCCTACTCCTAGGCCTGACACCACTGATGACACCAGTAATCAAAGGCAGTACTGGGCAGGATAGGCTCCATGAGGCTAGAAGAACAGACTGTCTTGAAGTGCTCTGCTGCTTCTAATCAGAAATAATGCATTACCGTAAAAGTACTTTTGTTTTACGGATTGTTTTCTTACATTAAACTGTGCTAATGAATGCCTTTTTAGACAGCCAAACTTTACATTTTTATGACGAGTGCACTTTAATCTGGGTGATAATCTGAGTGTATTGAACACCTATAAACTGATTCAGCCCAGAACCATATTTGTGAAGTGGAAACTTGCTTTACAGACATACGTGAGCACACTGCTCTTCTAGAAGATTAATCACAGTTAGCAAAACAGATGCTTGAATAAATACTTAAATATTCTGCACTTCTATTACATCTGAAATTATGACAGAAAGATAATTAGAATGTCAAGCCATTTGCTTAATGCTTATTTGCAATGCATTTTTCAAAAACATTGATCTATTGAAATGAGCTATTAAAAGAGATGAAGGCAGTGCATCAGGCAACCAGGTCTCAGGAGAACATGGGGGTCATGTCAGAAATCACCTAATGCTCCCCCAAAATCACTTGCATAATAACAACATCTTTTCTAATCATTTAGATGAAATATTTACAGATCTGTGAAAGTGGTGAGTAGATGGTCTCATGCTAAGAAGAAGATTTCATTGAGAAGATTAAAAGTTTCATATTGTCTTAAGTCAGCCAGTAATACAGTGGTTAAAATACAACCTGTCACAAAGTAAATTTTTATTTATTACAGCTATTAATATAGTGCTGACAATTTACGCAGCGCTTTACAAAGTGCACATTCACATCAATCCCTGCCCTCGAGGAGCTTACAGTCTATAATAAACAACTCTGAGGACTAATGCCCCATGGTATATACTCCTGCCATCTGACTTGCTAAGTGGTGATATTTACTCATCAAAATGTTTGGCAATAAAAAATAAACCTGTCACCAATGTGTCCTTTCCTCACATTTCCTTCCTAGCCAGTGAGATACATGGAGAGCAGATGGAAGTAGGAAGGCATCAACATTGCCATGTGTATTTACATGGACCAGCACACACAGGAAAACAAAATATGGTTTTCCACTCACTAAACTGGGAGTGAGGGAGTTCGCAGCAGGGTCCAATTTCATCATTGAGGTCTGAATAGGTAGGGGGGTTGCTGATATTTGCATGTGCTACAAACTTCTTGAGTAATGTGAGGGCAGCATTATTGAAAAGTGGGAATGTGTTATTTTATTACTATGACCAAGATGAAGAAGTCATTTAAAAGACACATTGGTTGCCGACAGGTTCCCAATTCAAATGAAAAAATAGTTATTTCTCTACTTCTTAGCATATCTGATGCATTAGTAAGTGGCACTTTTTATAAACATCTCATGCAAACAAATTTATTGGGTACCCACATGACTTTCAGGCTGAAAGGCATTCGATATGATGGCTGTATTATAGATCAATGTGTAATTTAATGGACTGATTCTGTGCATAACAAAAGAAAAACATAGCAAAAGAAAAAAAAAAAAGGTGTTCGAGGTCATGTTAATGCAATTGATGTGCCATTCATGTATGATAAAGAAGCAAATCACCAGCACTCAATAATAAAGATGAATATGTCCCTTTAATGGACAAGACGTCACAATTAGCCAAAAAGCCGACGTTTCAGGGCCGCGCAGGGTCCCTTCCTCAAAGCAGAAAGATGTGAAGATGTTAAGGGTGCACATGTGTATGTACAAATTTCTCTTTTATAATAATTTTTTTTATAAAAAAAGAAAAAATGTATTATTTGAAGTGCACAGTGGCTAGCGGTTAGCACATCTACTTTGCAGCACTGGGGTCCCCAGTTCAAATCCTGGATTTCAAAGCCTGGATACTATCCACATGGAGTGTGCACGTTCAGCCTGTACTTGTGTGGGTTTTCTCCCACCCTCCAAAAGGCATTTTGGTAGTTAATTTGCTCCTATCTAAATTGATCCTGGTATGTGTATGTATAAATGTGAGACCTGAGATTGAAAGGGCAGGGAATGGTGTGAATAAACAGTATGCAAAGTGCTGTGTAAATTGTCAGTGCTATATAAATGTCATAACAAATCTGTGCGTGCAGCAGCATTCAGTACACCCACTCTGCCTTAATGCTAGGCTCCTCTTATAAAGCTTTAGTATAAAATATATAGTATAGTATATAAAGCTTTAGTATTTTCTGGTAATGTTGAAGCTGTCCTTCCTCTTCCATCTCCTACACATTCTTATTGGTCATTATAGTGATGGGCCCATAGGAATAAATAGGGAGATGAGGAAAGAAGGCAAGCTTCAACACTATCAGGAAGTGTTGCACTACAGATCAGAACATTTGAGCAGAGTCAAAGGACTAAAAGTAGCTGCTGGTATGTGCAAGTATACTTTATACATACCAGCAGCTTTTAAAAAAATATATTTTTGATATATTTGTTAAAGGAACAGAGTCATTTTAAGTAAGAAAACGAAGGGTGGAGTGTATGTTGAACAAAAATATATCTCTACATGCATTTTTGTTAAATATATGCATGCCATGAAGACTGCCCGTGATACCTTGTGACAAATGCCAGTAGAAGTACATCCGTAGGTTAGCAAATATAATACAATGTGTTTCTGATCAGAAGGAGTTTGTAATGCTCTAAAAAAACATCTGGAAAAAAATTATGATGATATATGCTTCAATGTGGATGGAACAGAAATGGAATTGCTTCCAAGTGAATGCTGCTCAGCTCTGCCTTTCTATTGTACTTCAGCAAGCAGTAAGCAAATGCGCAACCTTAGCCAATTTTTGGGAAAGAAAAGATAAACTTCTTTCACATGTTTTTCTTTTTTCCAAGAAGAAGCAATGCATTCATGTAACTGATAAGGCGCCAGCACTTGAAGTCCTTCGCATGTATGGTACATTTGGCGACACATGAATATGAAAGACCCTTTCACTACAGGCAGCATGTCTGATTCAGATAAGGATGTGATTTCTTCATTAAGAAGTTTGATGGAAAATTGAGCAATCACATGAGCACCCAGGGTACTGAGAAGAAATAAAACAGAATTAAAAAAGGTATATGGACAAATATTTCAACACACAAAAGCATTATTGAAAGGAAAAAACTTCCCTTTATAGTCTTTTATACCTTACTATTAGCATATTACATCGTCTTTAGATTTCCCCAGCAAATAATATTACAAATACAGCCAGGAGCTGAATTATCACTAACGTTCAATACAAATTAACATAGAGATTCCAAAGATAATTTAAATTGTTGCACTTAAAGTGGTAATATACAACTGCATGTTTGGTTATTTACATTTTTATTTTCCTCTGCGGCTGAGTATGACTAAAATTAGTTAATTAGGAAAAAGAATAATAGTAAAAAATAGAATTTATACTTAAAGGTTTCTACCTGGCAAAGTGTACATGGTAAGCCATGGCAGCAGCATATCTGTGTCCTCTGGTATTTTCTCTTTGTTTTGTGTTTTTTTTAACTCTTTATTTAATAAAAATAACCATCTCTAGCCTAAATGATACCAAACTGGCACACTAGAGATATAAACTGCTCCTGCAATCCTTGCAGGTCCACAAATATGCAGGTATCCTACTAGGCACCCTACTATGCTGATACCCATCTATATGCCTTTCAGTACTACAAGGAGGTGACTCATAAAAAGGCATATCTATAACGATTGATTGATATCCAGTGCCAGTTGGTTCCTCTGCACCTCCAGTACCCTAGGAAGAGGTTCAGGCTTCCAGTAGAGGGCTCTGCGTCTTCTGTAGATGCAGACACGTTGCTATCAATGCTCTAGGGACGTGGTAAAGAGTTCTTTTGGAAAGGGGACATAGATAGAAAACATTCCCGAATATATTTTCCAGTAATCAAACACATAAAAGTAGACGGACATAAACCGAAGATTGCGACCTCTGCTCGGGTCGGTCCAGAAAAGGGGGATATAGGACTCTCCCCTCATCTTACCTCCCCGACCAGACAAGCAACATCTTCTACAGCCACTACCACCACATCATATCCTGACAACATCCTCCACATTCTTCTTGCATGCTGACTCCATTACCTTGCCTACCTCCGCCACCATCACGGTTCCTCTCTCTCCACTACTACCCGATCACCCATCCGACCATGTTATCCTGCCCAGCTCCACACGTGCGCCGTGGAGTTTTCTTCCAGACTTCCATCCCTCTCCCTTTCTCCATGTCTCTCCTCCACTTCTCCACTCCCACTCCTCCGTTCCTGATCCACAAAACACATTCAGACCGATAGCTCTAGTGGTCACCAGCATTCAGTGACTGCCTACCGAGGCCAGGGCAGGCCTGTACCTAAGCGGATATTTACTCGAAAAGTGGGAGAGTATGTGATAATATAAGAGGGAGACGACTCCCTTGGTATGTGCGGATAATGCGACCTGCTCAAGAAGTGGTAGCTTAGATATACGTATCGGGCCAGCCCCAGGGTGTGCAGATAGGGCATGTCTCAGCTGAAGATATTGATAAAATTGGTTCCTCTTTAGGTTAAATTTAGATTGGAGTTGCTGGAATGAGCATAGTATGCCTGCATCATAAACCTGAGATAAGAGGTGTATTCCCTCCCCCTTCCAGGAGACAAAGCCCAGCAATTTTTGTACCTCCGGCAGTTTACAATTATCCCACAGTGGGGTAACGGTGGTAACCTCAGAGAGCCCCAACAGGGTCCTGGCAGACACCCAGATCCTCGGGAGCAGTCTTGGTGTAGGGAGATCAGAGCGGGACAGCAAGGTGGTGTCCAGTAGTGACAGCAGGACTTCAGACTGGAACATGTGTGCAAATAACCTAGCATTGGCAGGGAGGTCTTCAGTGAGAGACCATCCCGCCAAGTGCTGAAGCTGCGAGGCCAGAAAATATACCCACGGGTTGGGAAGGGCCAGTCCGCCCTGCTCTTTGGGGTATTGAAGGAATTCTAATCTAATACGAGGGGGCTTACCATTCCAAATGAGATCCCTAAAGAGGGAGTTGATCCTTCGAAATATATTTTGTGGGATCCAGCATGGGGAATTATGGAGAAAATATAGTATTTGGGGCATCCAAATCATCTTGATCAGGTTGATCCTACCCACCACTGATAAAGGGAGTTTCTTCCAAACTTTGCATTGCACAGTTAGTTTAGTCAGCAAGGGAACCAGATTATCGCCCACGAAGGCATTGGGGTTGGCGGTCATATGGACACCCAAGTATGTGAAGTGGGTGTCCATATGACCGCTCTGGGATACTCAGCCCGCTTCGGGATACCAACCGCCCTGATGTTATTGTGCCGGAGTCTGTTTTCAATGTCCTTTTTGAGGACGCCATTGGCGGACCGTTGCAGTGCCATCTTCAAATCAGCTTGAAGTGGAGTAGTCAGGTCTTCCAGGTCCCCCACCCGGTGTTCAAGCATTTTTGTCTTCTCCCTGACCTTTTGGAGATCATGGCGGAGAAAAGAAAGGTCAGCCCTCATACCATGCACTTGCTCCGTTAGGGATGTGAGGGATGCATTAGACAGCTGAACCGCTGCAAAAACAACCTTGAGTGTGGGTTCAGTGGATGAGATGCGGGTCTTGGGAGACTTAGGTATCTTAGATGCAGCTGGGGTGGGACTCACATGGTCTTCCTCAATATCTGATGCAGCAGAATCATCAGCCGCACGGTGGGTCGGTGGCTCGGGACAAGTTTCCTCATCCTCTGCCTTGCTTGTGCGAGACTGACCTTTTGAGGAGCCCCTATCGAATTTCTCCAGCCTTGAGGCAACCTCCTTGGCGCTGTCCTTCTTGGCCTTGCGAGGTGTTTGCAGCTTCGCGCCACCGCCATCTTGGAATCTCGGGCCCGCCTCGAGGGCTGCAGCGCCCGTCTTGGTCATGTGAGCTTATATCGGTCCCGCAGACAGGTATATTTGTGTGCCCGGGTGAGGTCAGGAACGGTAGGCGTAGACAGGGGGTGCAGAAACGGGCAGTGTAGGAGGATGTTCAGGATAGTTACAGGAGCCGGAGCTCAAGGATACGCGTTTGCTCACATGCGCTGCTAAGCCACGCCCCGAAGAAGGAACTTTTGATGTTTTTGGGGCATCTGATGTGAAGAGGGCTCTTGATGTGAAGGGGGGCTCTCAGTGTGAGAAGGGGGACTGTGACATGAAAGAAGGGGACTCATAATATAAAGCGGGGATTCTAATGTAAAAGGGAACTTTCATGTGATGGGGGGACTTTGATGTGAAAGTGGGAACTCCTGTTTTGTGTGGGGTCCCTCTTAAAACCCCCATCAGATCCCTATCTAGGATAAGGGTCTGGTATAGATTTTGGAAGGGCCATATGTGATTTTTTTACATTTTAGACTGCGGCGCCTAAAATTGTGCATACTTTAATAGGGTGCCATCACTGGAAAAAAAAAGGTTGAGGAACTAGTCTTAGAGCATTGAGAGTGACAGGGCCTGGGCAACATCTTCTTTCTGGTCTCATATGACATATAATTCTGTTTTCTCTTTGTAATTTGCATTTCTTAAGTTTTTAAATTATTAAGCCACAATTAGCTGGCCGAGTAACCACCAATATAGTAGTTCCTTTACTTTTTAATGTTATAATTTAAAAGATATTACTGTCTGTACTATATTTCTAAAGAACCAGAAGATGTACACTGTAAAGTAAATTGGAGACTTAAGCTATGATTCTCCGCAGTGTCTAACACAGCAGTTTTGCAAACCATGTAGTATTCAGAAATTTGTTATTTAGCCACGACTTTCAAATCAAGTCACACCCACTTTTTGCCACATCATGTTACATGCACCACACCTGTATAAACTTGAGAGCTGCTCACAGATACCTCTGGCTTAGGGCTTGTTCACAACATGCTCGGACAAGATCTGGAGTAGATCTGCAAACGTAGTGCACTGCATTGTTGCTGCATTTGTACCGTGTTCATATTGCATTTTTTTTAAAGCTTAAAATGGGCTTTCAGGTGCAGTCCAGTGTGTTTGCATGCATTTTTTATGCATTTCCATACATTCCAGAACAGAGAAAATGAGAGTAGCAGTATTGTTTTGTCTGGACCAGAATGGACTGTGCTGGTGTGAACAGAGCCCAGAAATACCATAGGAATACATTGGGATGCTTTTTTGGTCCGGGAACCAACTGTTCTGGTCTGGACATGATCCGGACATGGTGTGGATAAGCCCTTAAAAGGAGAACTATGAGGTGAGTGATTTTCACTCAACCTCATAGTTCGAGCCGACCTGTGACAATTAAACTATCACACGTCGGCTCAATAAATCAGGAAGTGAGCGAACATCCCGTTGCTCGCTCACTTCTTGATCATCTCCCTGCAGAGAGCCGTGACGGTCACTCACGGCTCCCTGCAGGGATTCCGGACGGGGGAGGGGGCGGGTACAGCTGGCTCTGCCTCTAGATAGGCAGAGCCCGCGGTCACTCACGCAGCTGGGTGGATCTCGACAGTAATGTTGGGATCCGTCCCGGCTGCGGCGGTCTCAGTATACCGCGAGCTATAGTTCGCGATATACTGAGCTTTGGGTCACGGGAGGACGCTAGTTTATGTCCTCCCGTGACCTTTAGGAGAACTATGGGGAAAAACACTTCCCCCATAGTTCTCCTTTAAAGTGGCCATACAGTATATATTACAATTTAATTATGCATTTTCTGTACAATCTCCTTTGCATTCACCAACAACTATGTAGAGTGACATCCTACCTAAACCCATTCAATTTAAATACAAGCAGGTAGGCCCTAGCACTGCATAGTCATTGGTAAATCTAAAAGGGATTAAAGAATTAGCTTGTAACTGGTATGGCCAGTATTAGCCTTCTCTTCAACTCAGCAACAAAGCTGTCAGGCCTAATTCACAGAACTGTTCCGTCAGTCCATTTTTGACCTATGATCAAAATCAGACTGCATTGTATCAGTATGGGCCGCTAGATGCAAGCAGCTACGCGTTTGCCTAGATCTGTCCCCATCCGGGTTTGTTGAGGTTTATCGGACAGAACGCAAAGGATTTGTCTCCAGGTCTGCTTTTACTATGCACATAGGCAGATGCAATCTGTTTACATCCTGTCACTAATAGGGATTACTACACGGGTCGGTTTTTCCTTGATCATAAGATTTTGAACACATACACACAGATGCCTCATACTGTATGTGACATCAGTTTCCATTCTGTTCTTCAGATCTGTCTAAGATCCCCTGCTGAGATAAAACGGAGGGTGTCTGTGTAAAAGGGGTGTTAGGGGAAACTTTTGTACAAGGAGGGAGCCCTACATATATATTATTTAAGAAACCTGTCTCATTTTAAAACATTCAACATACAGTTAAATATGGTAAGACATGACATAAAAGAAACAAGGTTGCTGAGCAATAGTGGAATAATAGAGTGAAAAGCCGCCAACAATAACTGCTTTTTTTCTAAACAAATTCACAAAGTGTTTTCCGAGCTGTTTTGTCTGTTTCGGCAAGCAAATCTTGCTATGTAATAGTGGAAAAAAGGCAGTGTGTATGAATTATTAAAAAGGCAACAACATAGAAATGGGGGGAAAGGGGTCAAAGATAATGGCTCAAAGTACATATATAACTTAGAAGATCAAGAATTGTGGGGAGTATGCCAACATGAAAGCAAAGGAACACAAATCAACAATGTGTTCCACGTGTCTTATGACAACATAGCATTTATCAGGAGCTGGTGAACCACATTTAGCTTGCCAGGGGCAATGATGCACTGCACTGGATATGGTTGTCACTTCCTTCCTGTGGTCCAACTGTGCTTCAAAGACACAAAATGACAACAAGTTGTTGCTACAAGCCGATTTGTCTTGATTAATAAATATATTCTTACATTTGTACTGCACTCTGTGATATACTTTATTGTGTCATCACTATAAAGGCGCTCTTTTTTTCCTTTTGCTGTCATAAAATTAACTTACTTTTCTATCCTTAATACAAATATTGTAGGATACCCGTTTTTGGTGTACTCCTTTTCACCATAGAGCAGAAGCGAAAGGCCTGCTTCATTAGAAGCAATTCTTGCTAAAACATCAGCAATAAATGTAAGAGTGGTTTCATCACAGTTCACATGAACCTGGAAAACAAACCAGTAAATCTGTTAGATCTTAATTGAAAGTGTATTCGAAAACAATAGAAAACAGATGCACTGATTATAAAGCAGGCATTCATTAAAAGCTAGGATAGCACACAGAAAAAAGGCATATGCAAATATACATTGCGCAACATACTTGTGCTATTATATGAACTTAAAAAAGACAGAACTGCGTAATAAACAAAGAAATACAGCTTTTATAAATAAGTCTGTTAGAAAACCATATGCAAAGGTTTCATCAATGCATGTTCATATGCCTTTATAGGAAAAACAATAATGTATTCAATTAGAATTTTTTTAAAATAAAATGAGCCAATTCTAAAAACAAAAACAATTACATGGCTAAACCAGTTCTCAAAATGAATCTGTTTAGCTATGAAAACATTTTGCTGCTCCTGCAGCTGTGCAATGTTCCCAAGCACTGACAACTTCTCACTGGTACCTTCTGTTATGAGACCTGTGGTTACCATGTGACACATTCAAGAGTAAATAGCCTGGAGCACAGTATTCACCACGCAGAAAGACTACTCCAGAGGAAAACACAAATTCAGGTCTCGTGTCTAGTTTTTATGCTCAACTAATATTAATGCTACTTGATAAAGACACAGACAGTAACCAGTTTAAGGTACAGCAGTAGCTGTCCAAGAAGCAGAAATGCAGGTTGGTAAAGGAATGCATCTGTAAAGTAATACATATGGTATATATAAGAAAGGACAGGGGATAAAATTAGAAAATAGTGATGGACACTAACAGGGTAATTCACAAAAGGGTGAAGAGTTTAGAGAAGGCAGGAAAAGGGAACAATATAGGACAACACAGCTGAACTGGAAAGTTAGCTGAATTGGAGAATTAGTTCCCAAATCAGCTATTTTGGCCTAGATTGTTCACGTCTCCGTCCTTCTCCAAACTCTTCACCCTTTAGTGAATAATCCTGTAAAAATATAGGAAACATGCAAGCCCTTAAAGCTCTACTCCAGATTTTTTATATCGTCTTTGGTAATACGGGGACGTTTTTTATTGCAGGCTCTCTCACATCCTGTAGCGGTAGTGTGGAAAAAAACTCCTCAATATAGATGCAGAAAACAGTTTTAAAAAAAGAAAACCTTTTTCGGGCTATGCAAAAATACAACAAAAACAGTTTTGCCTCAGATTGGGCTTTGAAGAGAAATGTAAAAAAATCCTACAACAGAAGAAATATTTAAAAGAGAAAAATAGAGATAAGAGGGAATACAATATCCTCCAAACTAATTTCTTAACTGCCTGTCATGCAGTTGTTGGCTTGCAAACAAAAGTATAACAAATTGCCTAATGGATGCATGAATTCTATTATTATTAATGAAGGTGTAAATAAGACATGTGAACGGGCCAGTATTGGACATGTGTTTAGGAACTCATGTTTCAGTTTCTCTCTTTTTATGTCTGGTTATTCATCACAGCCTTAACAAATTCCAGCCTTCAATGTCAGCATGCTATTGTGCCCTATCCAAGCACAGAGGTGGTTGTCAAGTAAAGTAAAGCACAGTAAAGTAGAGCACAGGTACATAAACCCCTTCACAGTCAGCATCTGTGTAGCATATTAAATTTGATATCTAAAAGGGATGTCATTCTGTCACAGTGGAACAAATTTCTATTCAACAGCGAGTCTTTGTCACACCAAGTCTTTGTAACAAGAAAAGAACAAATACAATACTACATATATGGATGTCAATATCTCTCTTATACTACAGAAAGTCAGAGACGACAGAACAACAAGAGGTGTTATGACCCAGCTTCAAGGTCAGATTACCCAATAGAATCACGGGCTTCCAAGGAGCTGCACAATGTCTAGAAAGTAGCTGTGGAAACTTTGGCAGTTTGGGGCATCTTCTATATTGCTCCAAATCGAGACTGTGCCCAATTTTGTTTTGTTTCTGAGTGCAGAGGAAGTCATGAGGTTGGACAGGCGGACACTCTGCCTAGCACAATAAGCAAAATTGTGCAAAAGTACACTAACACTGTGTTAAACTAAACAGTAAATCAACTAAAACAGAAGACCCTAAAAGTTATACAATAAAAGACTGGAATCAGCCACTATTGGTTACAGTGCCAATACAAGGTCCTCCAGCAACCAAGGTGAAGGTGTCAAAGCTGTGGTCTGAGGCTCATGATGGGAAGGTAGGAATGCTACACACTGAATATGCCTGAGGGTGATAGGGATTGTGCTTATATCTTGGCATATACATCTACCAGACTATTGCAGGGCACAAAAATGAGAGCTGTGTCCTGGCCATAAAGCTAACATTTATGTTGCATGAATAACCAAATTAGATGGATTACAGTACGGTCTGAGTTAAGTACTGCCATGAAAAGTGGGCGTGGTATATCCAAAGCAGGCATTGCTCAATAAATATGGTTAAACCAGTGTGATTTAGTTGTAATGTGCATGTTAAAATAGATTCAGGTTTTCACTGACATTATGGTAATCAAATGTATTACCTCCATTTGCATAAAGTAGATTATTACACACCAGTCTCTAAAGGCAAATAATGTTTTATTCTGCAATTTGCCCCTTTTTTAAATGATTCTGGTACAAAGAACCTTGAAATTATTTACAAATAAAATTAAAAGAGATTTTTTTTAATGCAGGGCTATATTAAAAAATTGAACAAAAACAAAAAATGTTATCTGCAGATGCCGCAGGCCTGAACTCCAACCACCTGGCTCCATAGCATCCTAGCATCCACAGTTTTCTTCAGCCCAATGCTTAGACCGCATTCACACCTAGGCGGCAGTGTTTCAAGACTTTTTTAAGGCTCTCTTTAAGCATTTTTTAGCGTTTTTGCACGCATCAATGCATCTAGCCTGTGCTATCCATTTTGTTCCCCAGAGTTTTTTGCAGAGGAAAACTGGCTGTTGCTTAACAAACAAGCAACACAACGCTAAAAAAAAATGCACAAAAACGCTCGTGTCTCGCATTTCCAGGCATTTTGATTGAGGTCTATAGGGCCAAAAGGGCAGAAATCAGAAGAAAAGTAACTTGTGTACTTTTTGGTACCAGCGGCAGGCGCTTCGCTACATGACATAATGCTCAGGTGTGAACAGGGGCCATGCAAAAAAACAATGGGATTCTTTGTGCTCAGTATTATTAGCAATGCGATGCATTTTTTATGCAGATCCCAAACTGAACCGACTGCCTCACAGCTGCATCTGGTGTGAACTAGCCCTGGGGATCTTTATTTTAGCCATGTGACTGTAATTTTCAAACCTAGTGTGACTCAACTGAAAATAATTTCTTCATTTTTAAAATAAGGAACTTTATCCTGATGTGTCAGCTTTATTAATTGAACCTTATGTCTTTTTACAGGATATGGTGTTTTGAATATCAAACTTAAAATAATTTACAAACATTAGATGTGAAAAAAAAACAACTGCCTACATGAATTCTCTGTTACTGACCTTTTTTCCTTTCAGTAATTTTTGTATTGGTGAAAGGAGGCTGTCAATAACAGCTCCAGTGTACAAACATTCACTGGCACATTCTTTGCGGTCACAAAGCATTCTAAGGACTTCCACAGCCAAGCTTGCTGGAGAAAAATTGCCTATGAATTAAAAACATGAAAACATATGTTAATAGGCTCCTTAGAGTTGGTACAATGAAGTTATGTAGAGGAAGACAAAGTAATAAAACAGAAATTCTGTAATATTTGTGTTCGTCAATTAACTTAAAAAAAGAAAGGTGCCATTGGTTCTAGGCCTATATTTGAGGAACACCTACACTAGTGTTAAAGTCAAATGCTAAATGATGAAGTATGGTGAGTGTTGAAATCACATAATATTAAACAGTTAAAGAAAATAATGCATGAACTTAAAGCTTAACTCCAGCCATTTTTACATTTTAAATCAGGTTTTTATTTTAGTCTGTGACTCCATTGGGGGTGTCCTCCTCCCCCACTTCTTGCCCTTGTGATGCCCATATAAGAAATGTGAAGATGGTTGTCAATGGGATCGGAAAGAGAAATCAACAATAAACACATCGTCAAAAGGTAAAACCCCTCAAAGGTCAACTGATAATGTGTTTTTGTCCCCAATAAGGACACAAAAGGCAATAAAAACCTTTCCCCACTTTATCCAAAACAAAATAAAGAGTTTGGGCACCTTCCACTATTATTTGAAGAAAATATGAATAATATAGTAAAATGCCATAATATAGTAAAAAGCCAGAGTTGCTGTAAAACTAAATATGTATCAACATGTGTAAAAATGTAATGCAAATAGTTAAAAAAAAAGAAAGAAAAGAAAAAAAAGGGGGGCTACTTTAAAACCACAGAGCTTCTGTTGTATATCCAAATAAGGACACAAAAGGCAATACAAACCTTTCCCCACTTTATCAAAAACAAAATAAAGAGTTTTGGCACCTTCCACTATTATATGAAGAAAATATGAATAATAGGGGGGACTCTGAATTGAAGGAGGGAACACCACATTGTGTGTGTGTGTGTGTGTGTGTGTGTGTGTGTGTGTGAGGTCCCCCCCTTAAATTTCATAGCAGACCCCTAACTAGGATAAGAGTCATGTATGAATTTGTTTATTACATGTTTACATTTACATATTTTACATTTTAGACTGGGGTGCCTGCCATACATTTAAAGGGTGCTGTGAATGAAAAAGGTTGACAGACACTGGTTTCAAGTAAAAGATCCTTCCACTGATCACACAGACATGCAAAGCTGACAGCACCTCCTACACAGAGTGGGACCCCAGAGACCTAAAATGTGCACACTGTGAAGCTGGACATAAACCATTAAATTTTTTTTGTTCAGCCTGCGGGCTGAACGTGCACACACACACAAAAAACACAAAAAAACAGGTTTGTTCATGCATGCTAAACAGCGTGGAAGGACAAATCTCCTGCGGCAGCTAATGTATTCTGACAGCTGGTATCCGCCGCTGTCAGAATACATGAATAATGACTACAGCTGATTGGCTGTATCAATGTTTGGACAAAAATCTTTGGCAGCGCCACAAACTGTAAAAAAAATAAAATCACAACTGAAGTTCTAACAGTCTATGACCAGCCTTAGGCTTTTGGGTAAATCATAGTATTTGGATGAAATACAAACCAAGGGCGTACCTTGGTCCTTAACTGCTTTAACAAAAAACGTTTGTTTTTTTTCTTTACTTGATAGCAGTTTTAAACACATAAATAAATGTTTCAGTTTTAAGAGGAACTTCAGCAAAACATTTTTCTACTTTGGGAATATTTTTGCTAATTGAGAAACTTAAGATGCATTGAGCTTTAAGATTTTTTTGCCTTCACAGATTAAATTAATGTTTCCCACAGTGTTTTTGTCCTCCTTGAGAGAATATACAAAGAAATCAAAAACTAGAATTTGCATTGTAGCTTGATAGATCCCTATTTAATAGCAATAAAGTGAAAGTGAAAAAAAATATAAATATATATATATATTTTTTTGGAAAGCAACCCAGTCACCCCATGCATAACATTCAAATACAAAGACTGCACCACCCATGTGAAGTATTGTCGCGGACGGCGGAGTAAGGGCAAAAAAGCTAGGGCCACCATTAACTATAAACTGATGGCCTATAAAAGCTTTTAAAGTGTTGCCTAGGGACACTTTTGGGTACTGTATTCTCTCCCTATTTCACAGTGAGCACACCATTTTAAAGCCTGACATGTTTGGTATCTCCATACTCAACACAACCCCATTTTTTTGTTAAATTATAGTTATATTGAGTTTGTTGAGTTTGTGCACACTAAAATTCAATTTAGTGTATCTTCCCTGAAAATATAGGTTTGATAAACAATTGCACAAATATTGTGCAATATAAAAAATTGCAACTGCCACTATTTTATTCTACAGAGCCTCTGATTTCAGAAAAAAATAGGCTTTGAAAAGATTTTTAATTTCCATGGTATACCTGTAGGCTGTGTGTGGCCTCTCCTCAGCCTGTCTGTAAAACAGCTAGAATGGGCCCCATAAGAGCATCCCCATCAGCGCAGGAATGAGCGCTCTGACTTTTTTAAACCCTATGCATGCGCAGTGTGTAATCTCTCCTACTGTCGCACAATGCTGAACTCAGCCACTGCCATGACAGAATGAGAGAGTGCACTGCACATGCACAGGCTGTGAACAAGCCAGAGCACTTGTTTCTGTGCTAATGGGGATGCATATCTG